AGAAACCCTGGATGATTACCCACTCTCTGCCCCACAATTTAAACTCTCCCACCCTACTGGTTCCATCTCCTCAGCATTTCAGCCCTCACTTCTCACTACTGTAGGAGAAAAAGTCTTGCCTGACTCCATCACTCCTTTGACCTCCTAGAGGCCCTCAGTCCTCTCCTATCAGGTCAACTTCAGAATGAAGTTTCTATTCATAGCCCAATGTATTTGGGCTTCCATTGTAACCACTCTGCTAGATGAACTCTTGCTAAAGACATCATGTGACAAAAGTCAAAGGGCACATTATGGCTCTCATCTTGATCTCTCAACAAATATGTGATACAGCTGACCACTCCACTACTCCACTTGGCTTCTGTGAACACTACAAACTCTATTTTTCCTTTAATCTTTCAGATTGCTTCATAGTTTTCCTGATTCTTTTTCTTTTCCTTTTATAGGCTGGGTTCCTCATTCAGCATTCTCTCCCTGCTGATCTTAACTACTCCTGTCTTTATTTCCCATCTAAATTCTTACGCCTCTCAAATTTGTTTCCAACCAAATTTCTCTTTTCTGAGCTCTAGCCATGAAACTAACCAATTACCTAAAACTGAATTAATTATATCCACTCTTCCCAACTTCCTCCTATTCCAATGTTACCAATCTTAGGAAATTATATTACTATGTTCAAGGCAGAACGTGGATTACATCTTTCCCTCTTTTCCTTATGGCCAATTAATCAACAGATTCTACTGATTCTACCTCTTTTTTTTTTAAGATTTTATTTATTTGAGAGAGAAAGAAAGCGAGAGACAGAGCACAAGTGGAGGGGGAGGGGCAGAGGGAGAGGGAGAAGCAGACACCCTGCTAAGCAAGGAACTTGATCCTGGAACTGTGGGATCATGACCTGAGCTGAAGACCGACAGTTAACTGACTGAGCCACCCAGGTGTCCCCACTGATTCTTCCTCCTAAATATCACTCAATTCTATTTATTTTTCCCTATTCAAATTGCTGCCAATATAGAGCAAGTCATTATCATCTCCCTCCCAGAGCACCAGAATTCTCAAAGTCCAAAGTTTAATACATCTAGAAAGTCTGCATGATCTCTCACCTGGCTAAGTGTCCAGCCTCATTCCATGCCCAGGCCCCACCCACCCCTTCTCTCTTAGCCTTAACCACACCAACTAAACAGTTTCTCAAATGTGTCACATTCCTTCCCATTTGGGGGCCTTTCATATATGTTTCCATCTCCCTAAAAATAAATGCTGTCTACTGCAATATTATGCTTTCTCCTGAACTAACTCCTATTTGTCCTGCAGATCACACCTTCAGTATCATTTTTTCAGGTAAATCTTTTCTGAATGCCTGGATTCTACCAGGCTCCCCTGTTATGTGTTTTCCTATAGCCTCTTCTAGCACTTATCTTATTTGTTTTTTGTGTTTTTTTTAATTAAAGATTTTTATTTATTTATTTGACAGAGAGAGACACAGTGAGAGAGGGAACACAAGCAGGGGGAGAGGGAGAGGGAGAAGCAGGCTTCCCGCTGAGCAGGGAGCCCAACGCGGGGCTCGATCCCAGGACCCTGGGATCATGATCTGAGCCGAAGGCAGACGCTTAATGACCGAGCCACCCAGGCGCCCCCACTTATCTTATTTGTAAATAATTATTATTGACCATGTTCCCTTGTAAACTACAGATTTCAGTATGGCAGAAGCTTCATCTTGTCTCATCTACAAATGTATTCCCAGGACTTTGCATGCTATGTGACATGTAGCTGACTCTCAATAAGTACTTACTAAGTGAACAAATTAATGACTATGATGATAGCAACAGACCTTCAGAAGTTATCAATCAAACTTCAGGACATAAAATTCTGAATGGGAAAGACTAAAAATATGATGCATTCTTAGCCAAGAAATAAACAGTTCATCAAAATATTTCTTAAATGGGGGTGCCTGGGTGGCTCAGTCTGTTAAGCGGCTGCCTTCGGCTCGGGTCATGATCCTAGGGTCCTGGGATCTAGCCCCATGTCCGGCTCTGTGCTCAGCAGGGAGCCTGCTTCTTCCTCTCCCTCTGCCTGCCTGTCTGCCTGCTTGTGATCTCTCTCTCTCTCTGTCAAATAAATAAATAAAATCTTAAAAAAATATATTTCTTAAATGGTGAAAAAGGAAATCAGTAAATAAAATGAACAGTTATAAAATGACTATTGAAGGTGAAACTCTAGAATGCACAATCCAGAAAGCTTACACTTTTTGTTTTGATCTAGTTTAATCTTTTGGGGAACAAATTTGGGGCTCCCTAAATAAATCAATGAATGAAACAGTTTTATACTTACACACAAGCTCGGAACAAGACTAGAGAGATTGACATGTCGTGGTGCAAACATGTGTAGCTGCTGAAGGCAAGATATGGCAGCTGCCTGAACCAGAGAATCTGAATGGTCCTGGGTTATTGCACAACCCACCAAACAAGAAGAACGAATGGTGGAAATTGTTGCTCCATTCCCTGGTAGCAAAATCAAAGAAAATGCAAAATGCTATTATTAGTACTACCCAAAACAATCGTCTTCTAAATAACCCCTTTCTGATCACTATTCAGATTGTTTTGAAGACAAGAAGTCTGCAAAGTCCACAGAAATGACTTTGAAACATGACTGTATATGGATGACAATAAGATATCCCTCCTAGATTTAGCTAGGTTTATAGAAATCCCCTAGGAAACTATACTGTCCTTTAAACCCATCACTGTTTTACTTGAAAGAGCCAGAAGATTCCTCATTCTCTGTCCAACCAATATGATCACTATATTATTTAATAACTCCAAATCCTATTTTCCTAAGAATTAGATTAATGAAAACTTTACAGAGATAGTCAGGAAAAATAATAATAGTATTATATTACTGTGTAAAAACATCTTAATTGCCTAATATAAGTGCTTTAAAAATTTTGCCAATGTAATTTATATACATATAATGCCAAAGAAATCATAGTCATATAGAGACACATTCTAGTTTGAAATAAATATTGCCTCATCATCACTGCATCAGAAAACACTTGGTAAATACCTATGTTTAATCAGGCACATATTTATCCTGTCCATATCCTTATGATAACACTGGAAGAAAAAATTACCAACTTTCTCAAAGAGGACACTGAGTGCAAGAAAAAGACATGTCTAAATCACGTATTTTCCAATTCCTAGCATTCTTCATTAAGATTTTTTCATTTTTGTCTTGTTTTTTAAAAATATCTGTCCAGATGGAGACAACACAGCATAGTGGTTAAGAATGCATGCAAAGGAAATTGATCTGGGCTTCATCTCTGGCTCCAACCACTCACAAGCAATACAAAACCATGGAAAAGCTCTTAATCTCTCCCAGCCTCAGAGTTTCATCTGTCAAATGGAGAGATGCACCTATCTCAGGATGCTGTTAGAATTAAATGAGATAATGTGTATAAAAATCTTGACCCAGTGAAAGCATTTACTAAATGATAGGGGGAAAAGGGAAAACTCTGAAAATGGATGATACATTCAGGATAAATTCACAATAATTTTCTGCCTTCTGTGTTTCATTCAACCTTTAGTAAAATTATGTCAGTGGAATTGTGTGGTTCGAATATGGGCCTCAGGATCATAACTCTGCCACTCAGTTAAGTAACTTTTGGCAAGTTACTAATCTTCTCTGAGCTTGGTTCCTCATAGAAAAATTACATAATATTATCTCCCTTATGGGAGTGGGTTTTCAAACTATGTTCCTGATCTTTAGAATTCAAAAAAACAGTAAAGCATAAGTCCATGAAGACAAGTGGATGGTACTCCAGGACAAAGGAACTCCACTTTTCATCTTTGTCTTCATGGAGCTCCAGGGAAAATTTAATTTAGAAAGGTTTCCTCTGGGGGTGCCTGGTGGCTTAGTTGGTTAGGTCTCCAACTCTTGATTTCGGCTCAGGTCATTATCTCAGGATTGTGAGATTGAGCCCTGCGTTGAGCGTGGAGCCTGCTTAAGATTTTCTCTCTCCCTCTGCCCCTCCCAGCTCATACTCTCTTGCTCTCTCAAAAAAAAAAAAAAAGGAAAGGCTTTCTCTGCTCAAAACTTCAAATAACAGTCAGTCATAGGTATGTTGTAGGGATTAAATAAAATAGCATATATAAAAAGCAGAGTTGATGGGGTGTCTGGGTGGCTCAGTCAGATAGGCATCTGCCTTCAGCTCGGGTCATGATCCCGGGGTCCTGGGATCGAGCCCCACATCGGGCTCCCTGCTCAGTGGGGAGCCTGCTTCTCCCTCTGCCTCTGCCTGCCACTCTCCCTGCTTGTGCTCTCTCTCTCTCTGTCAAATAAATAAATAAAATCTTAAAAAAAAAAAAAAGGCTGAGTTGAGGGGCGTCTGGGTGGCTCAGTCTGTCCAGCACCTGTCTTTGGCTCCGGTCATGATCAAGCCCCAAGTTGAGTCGGGCTCCTTGCTCAGCAGGGAGTCTGCTTCTCCCTCTGCCTCCCCCTCCCCCTGCTTGTGTTCTCTCTGTCTCTCTCACTCAAATAAATAAATAAAATAAATCTTAAAAAAAAAAAGCAGAGTTGTAGGCCTTTGGTAAATAAGAAGCATTCAGTACATAGTAATCAGTAATTATTACTATTACAAGTTTTCATTAAGCAACATGATAGCGACATTCAGGAAATTGAAAGATAGCAATGTCTAGTTCCTTTATTTAAGATAATTTACTCACCTTGTAGCTCAGGGCCAACAGTAGTTATTATGGCACCCAGGCATCTACCCAAACATTGATGAACTTCCGTATGTGAAGGTGGGACTGTCAACAGCAAGGTAAGAACTAGAGATAATGTTGGTTCCACATATCCACGATACATTGGGCCACTAGAATCCACTATAAGAGCAAGTGAATGAAGAGACCATGTCTGGAATGAAATATAATTTTATTTAGTGGTAAGGAATAATTTGAGTATACTGAATTGATTTTTTAACTTAAATGTTAGTAAATATTAACACCTTATTTTTTTAATGGATTCATCTGTTTAATATAGGGATATAACATTTTGTCAATACTAGGCACCATAAAATGTAAACACAATTACTGTCATAAACCTGGACATACCTTCAAGGATTGAAAGTGGCTTTGTTTAGTTGCCCTGTTTGCATATAGTGCAGAGAAAGGTCTTCATGTTATTAGCACTATGTACATAAGAAGAGATCCAAATTACAGGAGAGGCAGGTAAAATTTGAGTTCTTTAAACATTCATTAAACTAAGTTTTGTAGTAACATCCAGGTTTATCTTCCTTTCACTAACAACGTTCCCTATTAAGCACATCATAACAACAGCACAGTGAAGTGAATGATGAAATAAAAGAATTTCGATACAATGGAAAACAGTGCTCAGTGATATATTTACATTCTATTTATATGATTACACATTTGATCATATAGTACCTTCCTAAGGATTACTGGCTAATTTGGGGGTGGGGTTTATACTGTTAGAGGTATTACTAACATGGTAACTACTTCTCTTAAATGCAGATATTAGAGCTATAATTTTATTGAGAGTAAAACTGATAATGCAAGTTGACTGAGCTTCTCAAATAATGTGGTTTATGAAATCATAGGAAATGAGCAAAGCTGCCCTTGACATAAAATGGTTTCTCAACCTGCTTTTCACATCAAATTTAATCAGTACAAACCAACATGGTCAGTCAGATAATTCTTAATATGACAAATGAGAGAAAGAAAAAAAGTATATGTACATGAATAAACAGGGGAACTAGATGCGTTTTAGCAAGGAATGTCAGGTGGTAGTTCTGGATGAAACTTGCATTGCAGTTTTCACTTCCACAGCTGTGTGCTGAGAGTCTGACCCGATAGGCTTCCAGACCATCCTGCTGGGGGGTGGTGTTGTGTTGGGGGGCTAGCCAAAACCCACTGTTGGGTTCGTACTACTGATACTCATGCCAGCCATTTGCTGAATCATCTGTGAGAGGTTCCACTGGGGCTGTTGAGCTTGCGGCAGGCCAAACTTACTCTGGGGTGCACCCATCTGTCCCACCATTCCTCCTTGGGGGCCAACCACATTTGGAGGAAGTGGCATCACACTAGTCTGTGCATTTCCCATAAACCCATTGGGCATGGGCATGCCCACCATCATGCTTGCACTCTGTCCCATCACATTTCCGAGAAGGCCAGGAGCTGCAGGTGTACGCACAGGCACACCCACTGATGGAAAACCTTGAAAGGCAGTTGGTGCTTGTGAGGTAAATGGTATATCTGTGGGTCCCATAAACACACCAGGAGTACTCTGCTGCTGAATGGTTCCTGCACCATACAAAGATAAGATGGAGTCTTTGGAGAGTTGTTTCTTTGCCACCTCTTCTGACTTTGTAGCTTGCTCGGTGAACAGATCCAGATCTCCAGATATTACTGTAGACAAAGTGGCAGCTGCAGGTATAGAGGGCATCCCCTGAGCTGGGGGTATGACTGTTGCAGGGAAGGGATTAGAAATCACTGGTCCAAAGATGTCCAGATCATCATTCAGGAATGGCACCGTGGTTGTGTTCCCATTGGTCACTGGTGCCTCAGCAGGGCCATCAAGTCCTAAAAGATCAACAGTGGGCTCTGCAGCTTTTTTAGGGCTGGTACTTTTTTTGGGCTCCAAATGCTGATCTTCTTTCTTCTGCAGCTTTCCAGTTGTAAGAGGTTTTGCACGCTTTTCTGGCTCCTTTCTTTCTTTTTCTCTTCCTTTTTTTTTCCCCCTTTTCTTTATTTGTAATAGCTATTGCATTTTTATCATAGTATTTCTTCTTTTCATATTTATCTCTGATGAAAAATTCCACTGCTTGATCTGTCTGTGGTCTTCGAAAGTTCTCTGGAAGATTGGCTTCATAGAGTAGTCTTGCTTTAGTATTTCCCATATCTTGCATGCACTATATCTGTTCTGGTGTACACTGGTCTAGGTTGACTGACTTGACCCTGGATATATGAACCCCAAGATTTCTATGGATTCCAGCACATGTGATGCAAATAAATACACCAATATTCCAGGAAGCCCATGGAGGACCTTTGGTCTCTCAGTCGGGGCAGTACTTTTGTCCTCCTCCCTTAGCAGCTCGGACAGGATGAGCTGGTGCTGCTTGTTCAGCTTCTGAGCCTTCTCTCGGCAGGAGCGCATCGCCATCTCGGCAGCAGGGCGGGGAGCCCGGGGCAGCTATGGCGGCGGCAGACTCGGGCAGGAGCTGGGCAGTGTGAACACCCCTGGAGCCGCCGGGACCGCAGGTGGGCTCAGCCTAGGAAGCGGCGGCGGCAGCAGCTGGAACTGGAGGAGGAGTGGCGGCCTAACACCTTTATTTTTAATCAATGGTCTAAAAATACTTTAACCAAAGCAACTGATGTACAAGTGTTATGTTTAAGTTTCTCTGCAGCATGGCTTTGAGTGTCAAATAAAATTTCGATGATGAATTCATTTTCTTCTATTATAATGTATATCTATCTCATACATTCAAAAGACCATGACTTATGTAATAAGCATTTGATTTAGTGGATGCTTATGGACATCAAATATATTTTTATTGCCTGTAGTGTGGAGTTTTGCTAAATAATGAGCCTGAAATAGAACAATGACTGTGACAATGTTCTGTACTCAGATACATTTCTATAGCAATGATATTCACATATCAGCTCTTCAAGTGCATTGAACCATTTCGAGCCCCTACTTATGCCTACTAAGCACAAAGTAATCTTACTGGCTAATAGCATTTCCAAAACTAATCCCAGAGCAGCATATTGTAATCAGCACAGGACTGAGAAAAAATTAAGTCCTTTAAACTACCTACATCCAGTTGTAGAAGAACTTACCTTTTATTTCTGTTGCCGGCAGCTCAAAAGGAGAGCTATACTACTGGGCTGAGGACAGAGAGATCTCAACTTGCCAACAGAGGAAAAAAAAAATCCACACCTCAACTTCTACTACCTGTCAATCTGCTATGATCCTAGAGAACTCAGCAACCTGACTTGGACAGATATGTACAGAAACCACATCTACTGACAAGAGCTAGCAAAAAATAATAGGGATATAGCAACTTGAGGGAGGAAGACTTGAACAAACATTCTGGAGAAAATGATTAAATGTAAGAAATAGAGGTGTCTCGCTGGCTCAGTCAGTAGAGCATCAACACTTGATTTCAGGGCTGTTAGTTCAAGCTCCACACTGGGTGTAGAGATTACTTTAAAAAACAAATAATAAAAAATAAATGTACAGAACAAAAAGCACTTTAATAAAACTGTAATAAAAATTTTTTAGGCCATATAAAGCACAAAGGAGATTCTAGAAGTGTTTTTTTTTTTAAAAACCCAGGACTTATATTAAAGATGCAATGGAAAACTGGAAAAACAATAGCTATTGCTAAAAACCAAAATCATGATTTTCAGGATCAAATGGAAGATTATCCTATAACATTGAGTGAAAATACCAAAAAATAAAAATAATGAGGAAAAAAGACAAGATCTAATATATGAATAATACTAGTTCCAAAAAGAGAAGAAGATAAACTTATATAGAATTTGATGAACTTCACAGGAAAATTCTTACACACCGCCAAACAAAAATGTAAGCTTACAGACATACATATATATTTCAGGTAAGTTTCCTAGCAAAAGCAATGAAAAGATGGAGAGTAAAGATTGCTGTGATGTCTGTAACTATCTATTAATTCAGAAGTTTATCACATAAGCCATTGTCTTTTCCAAGTGTGAAATGCACGCATAGTATAAAGGAAAATGATTTCATCACTAAAGTCTCATTTCTGGATACTCAAAGCCACACTGCAGAGAAACTTTAAACACAATATTTGTACACCAGTTGCTTTGATTATTGGTTTATATATTGCCTTTAATTTCCTAAAGAACATAACTGAAAGTTTTTAGAGATAAATGATTAAAATTTGAGATGTTAATATTTACTGAAATTTAACTTTAAAAAAAGACTACCGTTAGCCTCTTATGTGCAACACCAGAACACAGAAAATCCTGAAACATATATGAATGATGAAAGAAAAGAACTGTGTGCCAGGAATAGTATACTCAACTAAAATTCATTCAAATGTGAAGGCAAAATAAAGCCATGTTTTAGATATGCAAGGATTAAAAAAGCATACCATTCAAGCTAATGATTGTTGGAGGAATTTTTCCTATCCAATGAAAATGTAAAAAAGAACAAAGACCTCAAGACAGGAGTTGAGGATACAAAGAAGAAAATATTATTGAAAAATAAATCTCTGGTGATTATAGTTAAATAGATGTAGCCAATAATAGGACTGTAAAGTATAATTTTTGAGTTAGGATTCTTAAAACAGAAGACACATTAGGGCAAACTTAAGAAAATCTACTATACTCTTCTTGTGCAGATATATGGTAGCACTGAGGGAATGTAACTGATACAAATTTTAGTAAAATGTCCTATCATATTAAAATAATAGTGCAGAGTGGTCACTTGGAGTGTGACTTTAAGAAATTAAAAGCAAGAGAAGGCTGAGAAGAAGGTGAAGACAAAAGAAAGCAAACTACCACCATGCTCTTTGACATAAAAGAAGAAAGCAGAGGGGCACCTAGGTGTTAAGCGTCCAACTCTTGATTTCATGACTCAGGGTTGTGAGATCAAGCCCCGTGTTGGGCTCCACACTGAGCGTGGAGCCTGCTTAAGATTCTCTCTCCCTCTCCCTTTGCCCTTACCCTGCCCCTGCTTCTGTGCTCTCTCTAAAAAAGAGTAAATTAAATTAAAAAAAAATAAAGCAGCAACTTTTTAGGTAAAATTTTCTTCTAGTCCACTATGAAAATAGAATTTTTTAAAAAGCAGTGTAGCACTTTATCCCTTAAGGGATAAGCTTACTTGATTTTTGTCTCTAACCTTTTTGGGAATTTTGGGCTTTACACAGCTGGAAACTTTTACCAAGAAATCAAAGGCAAACTAAGCCTGTAGACTAGAATCCTCTGATGGATTTACTGTCTCTTATCTAACTGTGAAGGAACTTATTAATAAACTAATGATAGGCCCTAATGCCAAATCAATTTGTCTCTTTTCCCAATTTGCATTCCCAATATGAAGCTGGTAAGTTGAATGCTACTGGATTCATATATGCTTAATAATTTTAGGTGTATCAATGTGAGGTGGCAAATCAAGAGCACAGTATATCTTCACACAAGTGAACCTCTTGCCTTTCATTGCAATTGTATTTTGTTGTATTTAAAATATTTAAGGAGAAACAAACAAACAAAAAAATTCCAGGAGGATACTTGAAGATTCAACCAAAAACACTGGACCTGGGATGGTATATAAGTGGGAAGAGAGAGACAGATGGTCATTAAAAGAAACTGGATCAATTTAGCAAATGTAAGGAAATGCAAAAAAAAAAAAAAAAAAAGAGAGAGAGAGAAAACAAGTACAAAAGACAGTAAGTAATAAAAAGAAACTACGCTTCAAGAAATATATATGAATGGATCAAATTCCCAGAATAAGACAGATTTAAAATTAGGTTAAAATACAAAATCCTGTTCTACATTTTTACAAATAAGACTCATAAAATAAAATGACAGAGAAACACTCTAATACATTTTTTGAACAAATTATCATAATCATTACTATTTTACAACTAATAGTCCTAAAAATATTATTTAAAAATGTCCTAACAGCCCGAGTCCCTTGCACCGCGACCCCCGCACGTCTGTGAACATGGCGCTGCGAGCGGTGCGGAGCGTGCGGGCTGTGGCCTGCAGTCTGCGCGTCGCCTTGGCGCCCGCCGCACCCTACCTGCCGCGGCCCTGGGGGCTGAGGGCGGGCGCCTTCCGGACACTGCGCACGGGCTCCGCTCTGCTCTCCGTGCGTAAATTCACAGACAAACATGAATGGATAACAACAGAAAATGGTATTGGAACAGTGGGAATCAGCAATTTTGCACAGGAACCTCTAGGAGATGTTGTTTACTGTAGTCTGCCTGAAGTTGGGACAAAACTGAACAAACAAGATGAGTTTGGTGCTTTGGAAAGTGTGAAAGCTGCTAGTGAACTCTATTCTCCTCTATCAGGAGAAGTAACTGAAATTAATGAAGCTCTTGCAGAAAATCCAGGACTTGTCAACAAATCTTGTTATGAAGATGGTTGGCTGATCAAGATAGCACTCAGTGATCCTTCAGAACTGGATGAATTAATGAGTGAAGAAGCATATGAGAGATACATAAAATCTGTTGAGGAGTGAAAATGGAACCCCTAAATAAACTAGTATGAAACAACTTAATCTAGCATAGTTGTCTTAAATTAGTGGTACACAGAGGATTTAAAATAGCAACTATTAGCAATACCAGTGGAGAAAGAAACTACTTGCAACAATGCTAATGGAAGAAAATACCCCTTAACTTTATAATGATTGCAGAAAAACACAACATGCATCTGTTTTGCAACACACTTTGATTTTTATGCTCCAGTTATGATATTCAGAATCCTGAAATTATCTTTGGTTAAAAACTAGTTATAAAAATTATGTAATTCAAGGATGACATTGTTACCTTAAGCCTTAAGCTTACATCTATCCCTGGATGGGGGTCAAAATGCTTAAATAATCTTTCCATTGGAAATAACTGGCAGTAGAGAAAGATTTGTTAGTTATATGTGTCAGATAAAGAACAATACTACCTTAATTTTGCAATATACTGCACTTGCTGGTGCTATTTTTATACAATGAAGCAACAGCCTTGCAGGAAGATAGTTTAATAATAAAACATTCAACTTCTTCGTTAAAAAAAAAAAGTCATAATAAAGAAAAAAATCAACATTATACCTGAACTTCAGAGGATGTTCCGTCTTGTGCTAGGGCCAATAAAATGCTGACACTGGTTTTTAGATGTTGTCCTGAGCCGATACCACCAACATAGCGATGCAAGCAACCCAGAGCCAATGAATGCCCAGTTCTGGATACAACATCGCGGGCTGATTTCAACCTGAAAAAAAGTTATGCTTCAGAAATTGGTTTTTCTATTTCCCTATGGAAATCAGAAAAGACTACAGTTATGATTATTTCTTTTTCCACTCTCTACCAAGAGTTAGAGATTAATGACAATGGTTGGTGAAAGTGACATATTTCATGGAATAAAGCCTACTTTTATTTTAAAGAAAACATGAAAGAAGAATCAC